ATGATGATGATGATGATGATGATGATGATGATGCTGATGATGATGATGATGATGATGATGATGATGATGATGATGAGGAGGAGGATGAGGAGGAGGACCAGGACGCGGAGGAGGAGGAGGAGGAGGAGGAGGGTGAGGGTGAGGGGGAGGAGGAAGAGGGCGAGGTTGAGGAGGAGGAGGGGGAGGAGCAACAGGAGGAGGAGGAGGAGGAGGAGGAAGAGGAGGAGGAGGATGAGGAGGAGGAGGAGGAGGAGGAGGATTCGCACAGCCCCGCTGACATAGTTGCCACTTCGCTGTTCCACCTGGGCGCCGCCCTCTTTGCACGACGATAGTGCAGTGCGCATGCGTTGTGCGCTTGCCTGGCTCATCCCATCTCCCTCCCTTCGTCGCGCACCGCCGAGGGCCCTTCTGATGGTGGCTTGGGGCGTCTGTGCTGCGAGTCTTTTTGGGGCTGGAGGGCCGAGCTGTGTGGGACTCTCCCTCGGGATGCTGGACGGCTCGCGAGCATCTCGGACGAGCGCCTCTTCGACATCTTCCCTCGCAGCCGCGATCAAGAAGTGTGGGAGCAGAAAGCAGTGGAGCACAGCGCTGGAGTTGTACCGCGACGCATGTCATCGGCGCCTGCCAGGCAGCTCCGACCTGTACACCTCCACGGCCAGCGCGTGCGGAAGAGGCACGCAGTGGCAGCGGGCCCTGTCGCTGCTCCGCGAGGCGTGGGGGGCCAGTCTCGAGCCAGACGTTGTCTAGGCAGCAGCGTGCGCGGCGGCGCCCGCGAGAGAGGCCGGCGTGAGGCGGACGTCCGGCCTCAAGGGCAGCCTGCCACGGCTCCAGGTCGGCCCCGAGACGCCCCCCCAGACGGCCCCAAGGCCCGCCAGAGCGTTCCGGGTGGCCCAGTCGTCCATCTACGTATTCACCGCTCCAGGGTTCCACGCTAGCGGGACCACGCCAGACGTCACCTTGTACAGGGAGGCCCTGGGCTCTCATGGCTTCGACAAAGTGAACATCCCCGACGGGCTCCCCGAACGTGCCCAGCCGCAGCAGGTTCCCAGGAGGCCCCGAAGAGGCGACATCAGGCGCATCAGATAAGAAACCGGCCAGCCAGCAGGTGCCCCCCTCACGCGTTCCTTGCTCCACGAATGCCCCAGGGACCCACAGATTCCCTGGGACCCCCTGGAGAGGGTGAAGTTTGTGCCCTCCTACGTATAGCTCTTCCAGCGAGAACTCTCATCGCATGTAGATGCTGCGTGCAACTGCCCAGAAGCCGCTGAGAGGCCAGCACACGTTGAACAGTCTCGGGCTTTTCAGCGTGCTTGGCGCCCTCGCCCTGGTGGCACTGGATGGGGCCCAGACGAGGCAGCGCCTGCCCAAGATCGCCCCAGGATGGCCTCAGTACCAGCGTGGACGACGATGAATGGCGAGGAAGCATGTTGCCAAATATTCTTCAGATATCAAAAAAACATGCTAGACACATGTCTGACACGTAAAAGTATTCTTAAAACCGTTCTAGACTATTATTCAAACATGGTAAAGGCATTCTTAGTTCAATGGTAGAACGGTTAGAATGTCCATTATCATGACATTCACAGCAGTGCCACCCCGAAGACGCTCCAAGACACTGTTGATCCCAGGGTCGCCCGCACGAAAGTTGCCAGAGTGTTCCAGGAAGCCTTCAGCGGAGTCCAAGAGCCGTCAGGACGAGCCCGGCACTGCTCCAGCGTGGCCCCCCCACGCGGCCCAGAACGCGCCAAGACGGGACCACGCGAGCGGGCTCCCAAGATACCCCGAAGCCGCTCCCGAGAGGCCCCTTACACATCAAGGCGTTGAGCACCACTGGGTTTCATATTTCTGGCATCCTCGCCGTTGCCGCCCGAGACAAGCCCAGAGTGGCCCAAGACAGATCAAGGTGGACCCAAGATGGCTCAACTATTGCCCTCGGAACGCCCCAACACGGCCCCAGAGAGCCCACGACGGCCACATGACGGCCCAAGACGGCCCAAGACGGCCCCACGATGGTCCCAGGGGCTCAAGAGCCACCCAAGTCGAGTCCGGAATTGCTCCAGGACGCGCACCGCCAGCGTCAAGATTTGCCAATGTGCCCCTCAGAGCTTGAATACGTCGCACACGTCAGCTTTCCAATGCTCCTGGCAACTTCGCCCTTCAGCTCGAGGCGGGCCAAGACGGCCCCACGACAGCTCCTGCGGTCGGGAGCTTTTGCTTAGCGTGTCACGCCGCCGCTTCTGTCCTACCACGCTGCGGCGCGACACGCTGTTCACGTCCCATTCTACAGCCGTCCACGTTCAGAGCCTTTCGAAGTTTCCCGCCCCGCGGAGCGGAGCGAGATGCTATCCGCTTGCAGGACACAGCGTTTCGCCGGGGCCGCCGCCGCGACGCGCCAAGCACAAGTTACTGACCGCATCTCGCTTGCGAGGCGTGCCTACCACGGATGTCATCCATAGGCTACCGTAGTCTACACGACACTACTGGGAGCATCGGATTCGCGACGGTATCCCAGTGGCTATACCCCTGTTCGCTTAAGCCGGAGATCGGCTTCACCCCAACATGCTCATTTCATGTGTGTGTGTGTGTGTGTGTGTCGCCCCCCAGGGGCGACGCGCGCACCGAGAAATCTTGTAACACATGCGTCGTGGCGGGCGCTTTCTGGCCACACAGTTCGGGAAACGATGGACTACAGGATGGGTCTGCTACATGTTGGGGGTCAGGCGCGCGCGCCTCCAGGGAGTACATCTAGTACTAGTATTGAGGGCAGCACAACCCACCCCCACCCCCACCCAGGGCACCCACCTCCGACCTGGTGATCCAGGGTGCCCTGGGTGGGGGTGGGGGTTTGTTTTTGGGCCCCGCGGCTCTTACAACCCACCCCCACCCCCACCCAGGGCACCCTGGACCACCAGGTCGGAGGTGGATGCCCTGGGTGGGGGTGGGGGTGGGTTGTGCTGTCCTCAAGTGTGTCTCTGTGCGTCCCATCGACGGCCCCGGACGGCCTCGAGAAAGGCCTGAAGGCGGCTTCCGACGGCCTCCGTGGCAGCCACCGTGTGTGGCCGGGCTGCCGGAGGTGACCCCCCGGGCGAGCCCAAGAAGCGGCACAACGCCCCAGCACGCCCCAAGATGGCGCCAAGGGGACCCCAGGAACCTTCAGGATTCGAAGGCGAACATGCGCCATAAGCATGAACTTTTGGCGCTCCGCGCGGAGCGCCCACAGTTTTTGTGCATGCCGTGTTTTTTTCTCCTTCTCTAAGGATTCCTCCGCGCAAGGCCCCGAGGCGAAATTGTCAAGCTCTTTGGTCTTGTGTCCACCGGGCATTCCCCGCTCCTCTGCTCCAGATCGCTCGAAGAGCGCCCCCAAGCAGCGCCCAGAGAGCCTCAGAGGCTCACCAGATCCCCCTGGACGAGATAGCCCAAGATGGGCTCCTCGGCCTCTCCGCAGCCTCGGCGTGGCCCCACGACGGCCCCGGGCCGTCCCGAGATGGCCGTAGATGCCTCCCCGCACGGCCCGAGGACCCCATAGAGAGCCCCGCTGGGCCGTGGGGAAGCTCGAGCCGCGTCTCCTCCCTCTCAGGCTCCCCAGCAGGGAGCCCTGCCAGACCCCCAGCGGACCCTTGAGAGCCCCTCGAGAGGCCCCTTGGAGAGCATCGAGAGGCCCCTCGAGAGGCCCCTCGAGAGGCCCCATGAGAGGCCCCTTGAGAGGCCCTCGAGAGGCCCCTTGAGAGGCCCTCGAGAGGCCACCCCGCCAGGACCGCGCGCGCGTGCGTGCGTCCTCTGGGCTCGCCACGTCTCGGCGGCCTGCCCGGGGCCATCCGCGGCAGACCGAAGGACCAGGGGGAGCGGCTCCAGGCCACGGGTGCGGGACCCGCAGATCCGACGTCGCCAGAAAATTACAGCATCGCAAGAATTCGCGACTTGCCCCTCGGACCCCAACCTTCTGCGTCATTTTGCGAGCCGTATCGATCTGTGAGGGCCACAGGGCCCGGAGTGGAGCCAGAGCGCCCGGCTCGAGCACGTCGAGCCGCCAGGAGCTCCAGGGGAGGGCCGCGAGGGCGGGGGCCGCCACGGCCAGGCCACGCTGCGGCACCGCGGCTGGCTGGCGCGCGACCGAGGCGGAGGGCCTCGGGGCCGCGGCCCCGCCGCGGAGGCCGCCGCGGGCGCGCTCGCTCGGCGGCGGGGCGCCGAGCGCTCGGCCAGGAGACAAACGACACCTTCCCCACCCGACGGCCCTCCATGCTGCGCTGCGGCCCATCGGGGGTCGCAGCGTATACCATGCAAAAGCCCACGCCCGATGTCCTGGTATACTTACCAGCCTGGAACATGTCCCTGTCCCTAGGCTGGGCATCTCCTCATCACCATGCCAATCTCAGGGACCCCCTTATTTTTGGAGGGCGCATCCCCAAGATTGTCATCGCCTTTTGGCGTGCCACTCTTAGCGATAGGTATAAGCTCGAGGCTGGTGGTACACGCCACGGCCCGTCGGGCCAAGCGGAGCGCGGCGCTCCCCGGGGCCACCGCGTGGCAGGCCGCGCACCGCCGCTGGCGGGGACGCGGCCCCCGGCCGCAGGCAGCGGCAGGCGACCCCTGCTGGGCTGCGGCACGCAGCGCCGCCAGCAATCGGGCAGGGGCGCAGCGCACGCCCCGCGCCTCCCTCTGCCGCCACGCGCTCCGCCCACACAGCCACGCAGGCGTTGCCCCGAGGGCGGCGTGGCATGGGTGTTTCCGTACTCTGCCGCTCTCCTCCTTCACGTCCCTTCGCCCTTCCGTTCTTTCCCTTTTAGAGACCGCCCTCCCCCTTCTTTTCCCTCCGCCCCGCTGCTCCGCCGTCGCCCGACGGGTCCATGCTCAGAGGTCAGGCGGCAGGAGAGCTGGCCGCACGGGCAGGCCGCCGCAGCACAGCAGCAAGCAGCCGCCGCACGCAGCACCGCGAGGTCGACAGCGACAGGCAGAACGAGTCATCGGTCGGCAGCCTCACCGGCACGAGCAAGCAGCAGCGCGCAACGGCCACAACCAGCATGTCGCACCACGTAGCCGACGTCAGCCGCAAGAAGCCGCCAGCACAAGCAACACGATGGTTCTGCCCAGCGTGGATTTGATCCACGGGTGCGCGCCAGCCTTTCCTGCATTGCAGGCACACCTGCGCGCGAGAGGGGCCTGGGGCCCGATCGAATCCCCTGGCCGGGTCCTCGCCGGGGAAGGTTCACAGACAGCTTCCGACGGCCTCGAGACGGCCCCGAGGGCGCCGAGGCGGCTCCCGAGGACGTCGCGGGGACCCCCACGAGGGCCCCTTATGGGGCCCCAGGACACCCTCAGGTGGCCCACGGGGGCTTCGTGGGGCCGCCCCAGGCCTCCGACGCTCCAAGGCGGCCCAAGAGGCCCCAAGTATTGCTCCAACAGGGCCCAGCAGGCCCCCCAAGAGGGCCCCGCAGCCCAAGAGGGCCCCAAGATCCTCCAAACAGCCCTCCAGGTGGGCCCCTGAGGGCTCCGAGACGGCCGAAGATGACACGAGACACATCTGGAGGGCCCCAAGACCGCCGAAGAGGGTTCCAGGCGGCTCCCGAAGAGGGCCCCGAGAGGCCCACTGCATTGATTTTCTGGTGCTTCTTGTAATTGATTTTGACGTTCTCGCTTTTTCTGGCTTCCGACGCCCCAAGAATCGCCCCAGCACGACCCAAGAGGGCCCCCAGACGGCCCAAGAGCGCCCCAAGACCGCCCAGGCTGCCCCCAAGGCGGGCCCCTGCGGG